GTGCCTATGGAGGATTCAGTTGGTATGTGCACCTATTCTTTAGCTTCTGTTCCAATCCAATCCAAAGCTGCTGCGTGCTCACTCATATTCGTGTAGACACTAGTAATTACCTTTGGTTGTTAACAATATCATGGCAAGACCATGTCAGGCCCTGTATTGGCTTGTCATGGATCCAGGGTACAAATTGTTATGGGGTTGTGGGGGTATTGTAGTGGGTTCAGTCAGGGGGCTGTAGGGGCATTGTAGGGGGGTTTGTAGGTCCATGTGGGTGGATTGTGGGTGGATTGTAGGGGTATTGTGGGGGTATTGTAGCTTTGTAGGGTGACTTGTGGGGGCATTGTAGCATGATTGTAGGTATGTTGTAAAGCATTCTAGGTTTGTAACATGGATTCTGGGGGTATTGTGGACCTGTTGTGCAGGGTTGTTGGGGCATTTTAGCAGGATTGTGGAGGATCCTTGGGGCATTGTAGTGAGATTGTTGAGTGTTGTGGGGGTATTGTATGATGATTGTAGATTTTCTGTGGGACCATTTTAGGTATGAGTGTGGGATCATTACAAATGATATCTGCATTACTAATACTATTTGATGGCCACAAGGAAGTTTTTTCACCACCGGCTCCAAAACAGTTTTTCGCATTTTCCCACATCAATACTTGATTTCACGATATGCCCTTCTGGGATTGTGGTCACCCCATATATGGCTACAGGTTTACTTAGGAGCCCAAAAGAGTCCAACCAGACACTAGCCAGCTATCACTTTTGGCTTGTACCCCTCCTGCAGCCTCACCCCAGCCACCACTTCTGCTTCCGACAGTCACTATACCCACCCTAATGTCTAATTTAGGATACAAACAACTCACAACAATCAGTATAACACACAGCCCAATAAACACGGATCTATAGTAATGCAGTCTCAGCTGCACCCCGGAACATAACCCTACAATCCACCTGCAATACCCCTACAATGAACCTACAAACCCACTAGAATCCACCCTACAAAGCTACAATACCCCCACAATACCCCTACAATCCACCCACAATCCACCCACATGGACCTACAAACCCCCCTACAATGCCCCTACAGCCCCCTGACTGAACCCACTACAATACCCCCACAACCCCATAACAATTTGTACCCTGGATCCATGACAAGCCAATACAGGGCCTGACATGGTCTTGCCATGATATTGTTAACAACCAAAGGTGATGGACACAATTATAGACTCTGACCTTCCAATTCAGCTATTGAAAGCTGATAGCTGCACAGCACACTGGGCCATGAAGTTGCAGGTGCCTAATCTGAGACATGTACAATACCTGCTGTAGAGGCAGTATATGCCAGGTAGCCATCCAGAAGTGGTATCATAAACAATATCAGACAGGAGGCTATGATAAAGTACTACAGCTCAACTACTCGCTCTGGGAGCCCAGAGGACCCTATGTACAAATAATTTACCTATGGTGTGGGCCAGCTAGTTACCACCACTTTTGTACAACTGATATGGAAGACTCAAATTTACCTCTTTTTCTTATCCTTCTTGTAGAAACACTCCTTTTCATGAAAGGCACAAGTCTACAAGAGGGATTCTCAAAATTCTCAAAATTGGGGGAGATATATTTTCGAGTCAGATTCAATTTTGCCACTTACCATATTTGGTATGTTATGCATTACATAATCCTACCTGAGCAACCACTGGCTTGCCAGAATACCCAGAATACCAATTTTCTATGGTTATCTGCATCATTCCAAAGCAGTTAAGCAGCATCCCAGGGCACAAAATAGTCCATTGAGAGTAATTTAAATTTCGAAAAAATTCTCAGACTGATTTTGCCGTTATGAGTAGTTTTAGGGTCCTCAGCTATGGTCCCAAGTCATAAGTGGACATGGGTGCAGTCAGTAGTGAAAAGCATAGGTTCAAAGAACCCATGCAGTTTGCGGGTACAGGTATGGGTAGTGCCCTGATGTAGCATGACCAGCTGAGTCTAAAAAATCCACTGCCAGATGTGTTGTCATAGCTGAAACCTGTGACCTGACTTGTACCCATACCCAACCATGGGTTGAGTGCAGGTATCGGCATGGGTATGTGCTTGGTGTTAGGAAGCAATGTCCTACCTAGTTGTCTTGAGATAACTGGGCCACATGTCAATGCCTCTCTGTGATTTGTAGTCCTTTGATGTCACCTCAAGTCATTGAAGTAGATCAGATCTAAAAACAATATTTTTGGGTTCACTAATGAAATGGGGTTTTCCCGTTGTCCAGCATGCTGTGTTCGGCAGGTGGTGTGTCCAGTCAAGGGGAGACAAGGTTGGGTGTATTTCATGAAGCAGACTTGCCTACCTGAATCCTTGACATCTCCCCAATTATAAGGCCTATCCCGTCTTCTCACACTACTGCTTACAGCCATTGTTTGAGTAGGACTCACTGGGAATACCAACACAGGAGTGAGCAGTTATGATGTGTATACTATTGGGATGTGCACAATAAATGCACATCCCTCGATGACTTGTTGTCAATGCATTCAGCTTGAGAGCATTAACAATGGACGTAGGATTGCTTTGTGCAGTGGGGTATTGACGAAGCAAGGTGAGCAAGAGAGGAAGAAGGATGAAACCAGAAAGAGAACACATGGACTAGATGTCCTCACATGTTCCTTCAATTACATGTACAGCCCCACCTCCAATTGCCATATCCCACCTGCTGCTGCACTCAAATATGGCTATTCCTTTGTATCCTGTTGCACAAGTTACATGCTCTTCCCCATTGCCCTTGTGTATACAAGAGCATCATAAGACTATATGAGAATATTCTCACACCCCCATTGAGCCTGGAGGACCTGCAGCTCAGGGTGGATGATTGATTCTTCTGATGTCCTCTCATGCGTGTTGCATACCCTGAAAAATCACTCTTCTGCCGTAAAACCACATAAGCCTCATGTTACCATTATACAATTACTATATGTCCATTCCTGTCGTACATTACAGAGTCCATTGAACTTGGAATGATAGTATGCATCCCAATTCTTGGTAGAGGAAGTGGTTGTGATTACAAGACCGTATGCAAGAAAGACACAAGAATTGATCATCACAAGAACATACAAAAATTCAAGACCATGCTCATGATGGGGCAAATGAGCAATCAAGTCAATTAACCTTTCACCGCACCCGGCATCATGCAACTCCTGACCTTGAAGGCTGATACTGCTGCTGAGAGTACCCATCCTCCATGACTGCCAACATTGAAGGGGCAGCTGCTTCAGCATTTCATGGGGATTCCAGGGTATAATATATTGTGTATGCTTACCAATATCAAGTGGCATAATTATTCACTATGGGAGGAGGTGTTACTCCCCATGCCTGCTGCAGAGAAAGGCAAATCTTGATGTGCAAGTCTTGGGTGCCCTGAATTGCACTCCTAGTCCTTATCATCCAGGCATATACCATCTCCCCAGTTTTCTCTGTATGCCCTGTCATCAGCTCAGCCATCATGACCAGGCTCTTGTCTGCAATGCTAATGTTTCTTGTGAGCTCCTGCCACTGGAGGAATATCCCAAGATGTCAATAGAGATGGATCCCAATGGGGCAGTTTAAGTAGGTCAAAAGAAGGCCTTGATGCTATCTGACATGATATCTGTGTCCCAGCATTGCCCCCTTGTGACTCAGAGGTATGTCCCGTAGTTAGACACTGCTTGATTCTTGGGAATCTGATCAGCCTTGATAACATATTCTGTGGCAAGGAGGCACTCCATGGGTTGGATTAGATGAAGAAGGATGTATAAAACAGGTAGCAGCTACTGAGGAAAAACCCTCCATATCTTCTTCATAAGGTTTGTCTGCTGTGCACCTTGATGATAGTTGGAGTGGAACAAAAGAACTGGTGTGCCATTATAGTCCATAAGGAAGAGATGGTGATGTGAACCTGTTCTGTTCACAAGGGTAAATGATTACTCTTCAGTGCTGCAACCGGCGGGTCCTGTCGCAAATTCAGAAAGTGCCTTCCAAGGGACTGACATTACCACAGCCTTGCCAGCCAATGGCAACGGCCTTCCCACGCATTCCCTATATGGCAAGTGAGGGACATGGCCATGGCAGGCCCTTTCACTATAGGGACTAATGTTTCAATGTTCCTGTCTTGCACTTTTTCTCCTGGCTACTGTATATTACTTAAATATTTATTTCTGTGCACACATGGAGCATGGGGACCGGAAAGTCCTGGATTGCTACCTAGATATATTACGTGCAGTCACCCACTTAACATAGACTCTCTGGCAGAGTGGTTATAGTGTCTATTTATTGTATGATACAATGTACCAGTAACTCCATGTCTCACCTGACTGTCCCTAGTTCAAATCTTGCTGTGGGCACTGAGCAACCCAGAATTATCATTTTTGGTAATGCTGTACATGACAGGGCAGAGGCACCTCAACTTCTGGAATAATTTGACACTCGGGTGGAATTAAGTCATCAACACTTACTAGTTATGTCTTCCATTATCAGTTGTGGCTTTTTAGGGCCGGACCACTGTTGCCCAACCAGCGCCTCATTCACCTCTTCCACCTCCTCACTACTCTCAGCCCGCAACCCCCTCCCATCGGCAAAGCTGCACCAAGTTTTCTTCTGCGCACACTCCTCGCCCACCTCTGCCTGTCCTGAAATCGGCACATGGCACTGGAGCTTTTGCTCCATACAACCCCGGCACTATGACTTATTTAGCTCCAGAGTTTTACCAGCAATCGTATGAGGAATACACTTACTGCTGTTTGCACCTCCCCATACTGCACCTTGGTTGTACCCTTGGGGCGACCACACCCATGAGGCTTGGGCTGAGTGTCATCCTCCACAGCCTTCTCAGGCAATACAGCCTCCTTGTGCACTCGCTTGGAAGCCGTGCGAGTCCAACCCAGAGCTGAAGTTATTGCAGGAACAGAGGTAGCCGTGGGGCTCATCATAGCAGTCGCGGGAGCTGTAGGGAAAGTCAGATTGAACCGGAAAACATGCATACCATGCCCCTCATCAAGGGAAAGGGTGTACAGGCCCTCCAACACCGCAGAAGGAAGATGGATCTTCGCGAGCAGCACAGTGCTCATGCAGGTGGAGACCATGTCGCTGCTCTGCTCAATGAAATGCAGCTGAAATAAGACAGTCAGCTCCATCCACTCGGAGCAATTTAGGATCGGACGTACCATATATGTCTCCACCTCAACAATAAGGCCTTCCGCGGACTCGCCATTGGCGTGACAAGCGGCCAACCCCTTCAAGGCATTGGTCAAGTGGGTAGCAGTAAAAGGCTGAGTTGACTGGGCAGACATGGTAGTGGATAATGAACTCCGAGGACGATGGGGGTCCTTTTTATCTACAGGTCGCACCGCAGAGACTGAGGACAGTCCAGATTTCAGTCAGGGGGAGGTGATAAGCCTCCACGATTGTCTGACCCCCGAAATCATGGAATCAATGCTTCCTCTATGCCCTACAGAGTCTATTCAACACATTTCTCACATGCTGTTAGGATGCGACGGACTAACAACAATGGTTCGATTTAAATCTGGACATTCTAGCATCCTTGAGGCAAGCGCAAATTCCTACAATGATTTAGCTCCGCAGTGATATGCACTGACACACAACAATCACCAAGGACCAAAAGAAAATAAACCTAGACCCCGTGATATGGGTGAAGGCAGTCCGAGACAACTGAGGGGTATTTTAATAGTTCGAGGGGGAAGGAGGAGTAAGATGTCGTAGGGTAGTCCGTAGGAAAACCTAGAAAAATAAAACAAATGCTAGTTGACGCTCTGGAGTATTTATCTCCGAAGAGTTGCAATCAAAGTCGCAAGAAACGACACCTGTCATAGGATCGTGCTTGCAGGGGTAGAAATTGCTAGAGAGACTTGGTTAATTTATTTCGCAATGTAGGACGCACTGGAGATAATTAAACCGACGGCGGAGATAAATCACTCGACGAGTCAGGCCTATTGGCAAAGCTAGGATCGGTTATAATTCGCTAAGTTCGGCGCTTTCGAACTTCTCGGGTCGCTGAGATCGTAACGCTAATTCTCTGAGATGGTGAAGTGCAAAACTTGTTTTTCTGTATGCTACTTTGTACAATTTATACTACAGGAATGGCTTTGCGACCGTCCGGAGATAAATAACAAATAAATGCCGCTACCCACAGGATTGCTCAGCACTTGCCTCCGTTATACCACGCACCATACGACTCCCTTGCGCTCCTACTTGCTCGTCCCAGCCCCTATAGGTCGCCTCGATGCTCCGCGACCTGATCCAAGCAGTCCCATCACTCCGTGCGATGTGTTGGTCACGTGCTAATTACCTCCGGCTGCTTGCTGACTGATGCTGACCTCATGGTGACTCGTATACGTCTGCACCTTCGGTATTTTGATGGAAACGAGGGGGAGTGAGTGCTGGAGGGTGGGCATGAGGACAACGCCCCTTGATAGAAGTGCCCGCGGCCCCGTAGCTAATTCATCTAGAAGTCGCATTGGTTAAGTCACTCCAGAGCTCCTGTTTGCAGAGATAAATCGCGGAATGGGTCCGTGTACACCTCGAGGATGCTAGGAAGTCTGGAGCTAAATAGAGCAATTCTTTAGAGCCCATAGAAGCCTAGAGGCGTATGAGGGCTGTGTCGGATAAGCTCCGGGGGGCTTGTACGATGTGCTGAGTCCGCGTTTTCAGGGGTCAGACAATCCTGAGGCTTATCAGCGGTCAGACGCTCCGGAGTGACTCAAAGACGCAACTTCAACACGAATTACCTCTGGTGGCTGCTAGTTGGGGGTCATTCTCATGCCTAACTTCCAGCACTTCCTCGCCTTCATCTCCCTCAAATTACCGAGCTTGCAGATGTAAATCCACAACCATGAGGCCAGCATCAGTCAGCAAGCAGCCGGAGTTAATTTGCACGTGACTGGCATGTCGCGCAGCATGATGGGAAGGCTCAGGATAAGCACTAATGTGTCAGGAAAACCTGTAGGGGCTAGAACGAGCATATGGAGGGACTAGGGAGTTGTATGGTGCATGGTATAGCGGTGGACAGGTGCTGAGCAGTCAAGGGAGTTGCGGCGAGTATTTGTTATTTATCTCTGGACGGTCGCAGGGTCATTGCTGTAGTATAAAATGTATGATGTAAAGTAAAGTAAAAACAAGTTTGATCTTCGCCATCTCAGCGTATCAGGGTTACCATCTCAGCGGCCCTCAAAGTTCGAAAGTGTCGAACTTAGCAATTTACGACCAATCCTAGCTTTGCCAATAGGCCTGACTCGTCGATTAATTTATCTCCGCTGTTGAAATATTAGTCCCCATGAGATTTACATAGTGAAATAAAATTAACCAAGTCCCTCTAGCAATTTCTATCCCTGCGGGCATGATCTTACACTAGGTGTCGGTGCTTGCGACCTTTGTTTATTGTTGATTCTTCAGAGATAAATACTCCGGAGCCTCGATTCGCATTTGTTTCAGGCGTCAAGACTTTGGTCTATTTTTCTAGGTCTTCCTATGGACTACGCTACATTGTCTTACTCCCCCTCTCCCCCTCGAACTATTTTATACCCTCCAGTTGTCTCAGACCGCCTCCACCCATACCGCTGGGTGTGTTAGGTTATTTCCCCTTGGTCTTTGGTGGCTGTTGTGTGTCAGTGCCTATCAGCGGTAGTTAGCCACCTGTTGCTCAGAATCTCTTGGTGTCTTATGCAAACATGTAGCATTATATTGGCCGAGTAAGGTCCCCAAATGCCCAGTAATGTGGCATAGTAATAGTATGGGAAAATGCGAAAAACTGTCCCAGAGCTGGCGGCACAAATAATTTTTGTACAGCAATGCACAGCCCATGGTACCTACACATGATTAGGACAAGCACACCCGATTCCTATGCACTATTTTAATCGCTAAATTAGTAACAACATCAACATTCAGGACAAATAAACCCCAGATATGGAAAGAGGCTGAAATGTAGATCCTGGAGGTATCCCATATCAATTGCTGCCATATTTGGCATGTGCTGATGTAATATAGTGATGCCACATGTGTGCCATCATCCACAGCAGGTTCCATGATTTTTCCCAGACCTTTGCGCATTTTTCCTGATTTTATATGAGCTGCTAATGGGTGATGTGTGGCACTCTCGACACATTCCCACGCTATGTATAGCTCCGACATTATGATGCCTGTCCCAAGAAATATATTATGATTTTTCCGTATTTGTCCATATTTTTCTGGGGCCTGCAGGGCCAGGTATGGCTACCCACCTATTATTGGCAACAGCTCAGATCAAATCTCGATTTGGATCTCCATGCCGGGGATGCCGGGGCTGTCGTATTCAAGCTCAGCAGAGCTGCCTGACACTGCATAGGGTACTTGGAAATCTAATACATTACAGACGATTGTAAAGGCTGTTTAATGTAAAAGGCTTTACGATAACAAAGGGGATCTAATACATTAATCCTACAGCATCGGCTGAGCGAAGCCAAGAGCACGGTGAACTTGCGCAAGCATCATCCAAATGTCCATCGGATCCGCCGAACGCATGTGAGCGAGCTGCGAATCTTCGACAGTGAGGATGAGTTCGACGCGCGCCTCTTGCATTTTCTTTGCGTTGCGCTTGGACTTCTTTGCCTCGAATGCCACCATGGCCATGCCCACCTCCTGCAGCTTCGCACCCGCCTTCACCTCATCCATCCCCATCCGTATCATAATCGCCTCCATTCGGATTGCCCATGTCCCATAGTTTGTATCGTTTAGCTTCGCAAAGCGCGTATTGAGCTTGTTCGCGTCCGACATCATAGTAGTCCCGCGGAAGGGTATTCAGCCACCCAACAGGCAAAAGTCCCAGTGTCCGGCTTCAGCCCCGGTGGCAAATCAAAAGATCAAGAGATGATTTATGAGATCAGTCCCCGAGAGGCGAGTAAGAGATCCCGAGTTTGGTGGTGTGACCACGATTGTATCAAAGTTTCCGGTCTTGCTCAGCTTCAGAGAACAACAGAATAGTTTTTGTGTGCGTTTGCCTGTATGATATGCTTGTGTACAAGGCAATCGCGGTAGGGTACTAGTACACTATGGGAGCGGTTATACACTACTGACTATACAGCTTTTATGTAAGTTATCCTCACGGAGCATGCACACGCTCGTTACGAAGTCACCACTTCCGACAAATGGCTTCGCCAATTATGCAAAAGCCAATTATTCCAAATGGCCGCGAAATAAATGGCTAAGCCATTTATTCGAAGCGGAAGTACTCCCCACAGTGGTTGACTGTATGTAGATATGTGGATTTTGTCTCGTCAGAAGGGTCTGTGACCCGTGACTGACGAAACCACCGTAATACTATAGTACGCAAGTCTCCCGGCGCCTATGTAGACCTCTACAGCACCCGTCTCCGGGCCGAATCCTCACGCTCCGCCTCCTCTCCTCGGCTGTGCTCCAAGTGGCTTCCGAATGGACAAGTTCAAGACCTTAGAACCTGTTCGACTGTATTCCGGCCACGCAGATAGGAATACCGTCGTGAAAAGACACGTTGCTCCGGAATTCATCGGACGCCTCCCGGTCGATTTGCATGTCCTGATACTCTCGAATCTGGCCGTGCCTGATATACCGTCGTACTCTCGGGGCAACCGCGCGTTATCTCGCCTTACACGGGACGACAAAGTATGGAAACCTCGATGGGGTGCTCTCGAGGTTGATCGACACGGCCTAGGATCTGTTTTGGATGAACTCGAGTCTCGTAAAGCGCGAGAGGCGGCCTCACGAACGACTGAGCCCCCCATCTTACCTGTAGAAGACGAGTTCGGAGATTTTACCTCCGCCGATCCTTTCAGCGCTCCCCAGAACGAGATGGGCGACTTTGTCGGTTCCTTCGACGGACTATCCTTAGTGCCGGCCACAACCGCCCTGCCAGACGCAAAGCCATCGTTCCGCGCAATGTACATTAGGGTGCATAATCTTCTCAAGCCTCTCACGAAAGCTTTGACTTCGCAGTCGCACCTGCTTCTATCCTCCCTGTTCCCTCCTCCAGTGCCGCCGCTTCGATTGCAGTCTCAGGCTCTCCGCCTGCTTTCCTCGTTTCTTTCTCCAGAGGTACAGCCGCTGTCATCATGGCAATCTCTACGCTCGTCACTGCGCCTGGCGATCGACCGATTCGAGGCGAATCTACTGAGCGAGTTTGAAATTGCAGACAGCAAGGCAGACGAGAATGCTATGCGCGAGGCTGCGGAGGCTAGCTGGAATGTCTGGCAGGGTCACGGCGAGTGGGAACTGGGCAAAGTCTGGGCGGAAAAGCGTGAAATATTTTACGAGCAAGGTCGCTGGAATCCCTTGGATAACTTTACGTACGTCTGTTCGTGGTACATCTTGGAAGGTGCTTGTCAATACAATATTTATGTGCAGAGAAACCGGTGCCTTAGCGTTTGATGCAATGGATATTCTCATGACGAACGTATTGGAAGCCCTAAGGGACCACGGCGCGCGGGCCGTACGCGTCTTTCCACCCGAGTCGAACGTGCTGCTCTCGTTTGCTGACCGTATTGCAGTCGAAGTAGTATGTACGCCTGCATCTACGTCGTTCCAGCGGTTCGACATCTCACTCACATGCCACTCGTCGGGCCTGTAGGTAGGTGAATACATTGCCCAGCTGTTAACGCGCGCACGGGAGATTTCGAACGCGGTCTTCCTACAAGCGACCGCTGCTACGTTCAAGGAGGCATGGCGGATGGTTGATACCGTGATGCAAGTCGCAGAACAGCGCGCAGACTGCTTGGTCACAAGGACCAAGGCGGAAGATGTCGTGTGCGTGTTCATATTCTATGCGTCAAATCAAGTGCACCGACAGTGCAGAGGTTAGGTATCGCATGTTCGAGACGAACATGGATGAATATCTTGACGAGGAGGTAGAGTCATTGAAGCATAATTTTGATGTTATCTGCCGGAGCTGGGATAAACAGGTACGACCGGCCCTGCAGGTTTACTGGACTATTGCCTTAACACTTCCTGCATCAGACGTCCCAGGCATCCACGGTGCTTACGACTTCCCGCGAGGGCGCGCGTTTCCTTGGTTCCCAGAACCCGGCGCAAGTGAAACGGAACGTCCTTGCTTCCTTCACCGACGTCTTGCTTCTGCCTGTGACGATAGTCCCGCGCACAGTTGGTGCCGTCGGTGCTGCCCTCCAGACGGGCGGCACCGCGGCCGCGCAGGGCATCGCCATGCTCAACCCCCAGCGTTGGGGCGGCAGCGGGGCGGTCGGATCGGGCGGGTCGGGTAGAGACGGTTATAGCCGCGACTTCCAGTTACAAGATGGCGATAATGTCCTCTTCGAATTCGGTGGGGAGGGGGAAGCAGACGATGCCGCCGAAAGCGAGAAGGACGACTCGTCCATTACTCGGTGTAAGCTCCCCAAACAATCACTCGTAAGACAATGCTCGGCTGACACGCCCTTGAGACAGCTTCGATGTCTTCTCAGAAGACAACAACGACCGCGGTCACTTCTGTCAAGACACATTCGGTTGGCACGTCCACAACGCAGTCTAATGGCGCTCAGTCGGACAAAATGGAGCTCTTGCTTTCGTTAGATATCGCTCTGGAACTTATCCACGCTGATCGTGAAGCGCTCAAGCGTGCTGAGACTTTCGCAGGGTATCCAGGGCATTACGGACATCGCGTGCACGATACCATGGAGGAAATATTCATACTGCTGCTCCAGACTATGAGCGAGAAACATCTCGTTCCTGGCTTCAACGCGTGCGTCATGTTCCCTCTGATGATCTGGCCGATGAATGTCACTGATGACCCGTCTGACAGAGCAACCGAGCGTATGCGAGCATATAAGCCCGCGGAACATTCCGAGACGACGAGCGTCGCGCCGCTGATGCAGTTCTTCGAGCTTGTGCATGTTGGAGACACGATACAGTCCATGGTCCAGGTCTACTTTGACAAGGAGCTGGTAAATCTGTCTTCGCATTGCCTTGCCGCCGCTAACATCGTGGTGGTCCAGGCACCCCGGATAGACAAGACCGATTTCCTGAACGGCGTTGTGCGAGAGAAGAAGCGATTTGAGAACGCGCTCGACGACTCGGTAGCTGCGGGCCTCAACGCCGGGACGGAAGTGCTGATGAACCAGGTCAGTCTTGTCTATCCTGTCTTGACGGTAGGGTGCTAAGCCGGCGTAGGTCGAACATATTATCCTTACCCTTACCCAGCCTCGCGAGTACTACCCTCCGGATGACGCGCCTCCGCTGGAGCTCGGTCCCACGAAAGGATGCCAAGAGGTTATCAAGTGTCTGGATATGCATTGTCAGCTGTTAAAGGGAAGTACGACGAAAGATGTGCTGGAGGTGTTTTACCAGGAAGTCGGGTGGCGGTTGATCGCGTGAGTATCTCTTTTTGTGAGGCAGGCCTCAGCAAAATAATGAGACGGTTTGCGTTCAGGATCTTGCAGAAGCACATCAAACGACAGATAATATCGCTAACGGGCGGCTTTCAGCTCATTGCGGATTTGAATGCATATCACGCGTTCATCGCGTCGCTCAAGGTGCGTTGCTGTCAAGACACATGTGGTTTCACGCGGATAATCTGAACCCATCGCGGCCTGCAGGTTCCCAGTATAACGGCTGAATTCTCTCATCTGAAAATGCTCGGTCATGTATACGTCGTCGATGACGCGAAGGACCTAGCGCAGATTGTCAGGGACGTTACCAGGTACGGTGGTGCATACAAGCCAGAGGTGCGTCTATCCAAGCCACATATATGGCTATGTATAGTGGCATCTGATTCCTGCCCGGCTCTGCTATACCCGTGCCCTTCCAGGACATTTACGAGTTTATCCAGCGGCGAGCTGACTGGAAGAAAATCGAAAAGACGGTTGATAAAACGATGTACAACCTCAGCTTCAAGGAAGATTGTATTGTCTGTTAATGTTCATGTGTTCTACTGTATTGTCTCCGAGTGTAATTGAGAGGTTTCCAAACTGCGCGTCCTCTCGGACCGACGGGGCAGTTGCACGTGGCGTCGCGTGGCACGCGAGTTGACCCTTTCAGGTACGGTCAGGGACGTGTGCTGCGTTCATTGGAGTCTAACTCTACGTCTCCCCATCGTGCTCGACGACGCACACGACCTCCAAAAGACATGTCCATTCCCGCCAACGACGCTTTCAGTCTCGGCTTTGTTCACGACTCCCGCCCCCGCCGAACGCGCACGTTGTCGCGCTCGCCGTCCCCGAAAATCCCCTTTGCCTCCTCGCGTTCGCAACCGATGCCACACCCGCGCAAGACGCAGCGGCACGCGTCGGGGAACGGCACAGTGACACGTCTGAAAGATGTCGAGGAGGAATCGCTGTCCCGAGGGCGCAGTCCGGAAAAGAAAAAGGAAAAAGTCGACTGGGAGATTCCGAGAAAGACGCTGCATTCATCTATCGGTGTGTGGCCCCGTCGTGTGCAATACGGTCTGCCGAGCTGACAGTCCCTGCAGGCTTTCTTACTCTCCACCTCTACACGTCGGATGGCAATCCCAAGTTTGTCGTGCTCGCGCTGGCCGTGGCCCTCGCCGTCCTCGTGCCGCTCGACGTCCTGCGCCTGCGCTCGCCCACCTTCGAGCGCCTGTACGAGCGCTGCGTGGGCTTCCTCATGCGCGACGTCGAAAAGGTTGGCTTGTATCCTCTCCTCCCGTCAACGTACCTGACCACGCTGCCCAGAAAACGACAAACGGCGTGATATGGTACATCATCGGCGCCATATTCGTCCTCTCCGTCTATCCACTCGACATTGCCGTCGTCTCTATCCTCATGTACGCTTTCCCTCCCTCTCCGGCACCCACTATAACCTGACCTAATTGCCTCCAGCCTCTCGTGGGCAGACACCGCGGCCTCGACGATCGGACGCCTGTGGGGCCGGCACACGCCCCCCCTGCCGCGGCACCTCCTCGGGCTGCCGCTCGCGCCGCGCAAGTCGCTCGCGGGCTTCCTCGCTGCCTCGCTCACCGGCGGGGTTGTCGCGGCCGGCTTCTGGCGGTGGGTCGCGCCCGTGCGCGCGGCGGACGCGAGCTGGACGTGGGAGGAGGGCGTCATCCCCGCGGGCCCGCACGCGGCGTGGGCGGTGCGCGCGGTGGAGGCGGCGCGGGAGGCGGGCGTGGGGAGGGTGAAGATGGCGGGGTGGGCGGGACTGGCGGCGGTGGGTGTGGTGGCGGGGCTGGTGTCGGGCGTTGCGGAGGCTCTGGGTGAGTGCGGTTGGTTGCGCGGCGTGCTCTTGTGTTCATTTGCCTCGTAGATCTCGGCTCCTTGGACGATAATATGACGCTGCCGATCATCTCTGGCGGGTGCATCTGGGGCTTTTTCAAAGTCCTCGAACTGCTCGCGCTCTAGAACCCTCATCCCTGATATTTCTCCTTTACCTTCTCCTTTACCTTCTCCACCTGCTTCTGCTTTGTTGTGCCTCATACCCATAGAACACTCTTCACGACTGTACGACCGTTTCTCCTCCCCTTCTTCCCAACCACCCCTCTAGGACCGCGTCAACCTAAGCCTATTCTTGGGTACCCCACGAGTAATCAGTTTTACGAATACATACGTCTATGATAGCCGGATAATGCATATTGCACGGAATCTTGTTTGCGATGGTATATCAAATGGATGGACTATACTAATACTACTTGCAGGACCGATAACGACGAGAAATCAAGCAAGCAAGCAACCGAAACCGAGACCGCTCCCTCCTGCTACGGCCCCTGCGCGCCCCCTCCCTGCCCCTGCTGCCACGCCCTCGCCTTCTCCGCGTCAAACTCGAAGCTGTACTGCGAGCGCTGTATGAACGGGCCCGTCGTGCCCGCGAACAGCCGATGCGCCCCGGTGCTCCCGTCCGCAGGGGCGGGAGAGGACGCGGCGGCCTTGCTCGCGAGGAGGGAGCGGTAGGACGGGGTGTGCGCCTGCCAGAAGGAGTCGTAGGTGAGCGTGCTGGGCGCGGCGGCGGCGCGGAAGGGGAAGCGGGTGGGCGAGGCGGGCGGGTTGGTTGGGGGGGGTTGCGTGGGGGGGAGGGGCGCTGCTGGCGGGGGGGAGGGGCGGGGGGAGACGGGGGATAGGGCGCGGGGAGGAGCCCGGCGGCCTGCGCGACGAGGCGGTCGGCTTCGTCGAGGACCTCGCGGAAGTTCATGGGTGGGCGGTGCGGCGGGGGAGGGATTGGGGTCGGGGTTGGGTTTGGGGCCGGGGCCGGGGCCGGGGCCGGGTGCGATTGCGGGGCGGGACTGTGCTGCGGGCTCGGGTTCGGGTTCGGGGGGCGCGGAGGGGCGGAGTTGGGGGTGGTGGTGGTGGGCGCGGGGCGCGGGGTGGGATCTGGGTCGGGGCGCGTATCCATACTCGCATCCGGGTTCGTGTTCGAGTTCGAGTTCGAGTGGGCATTCACATTCGCGTTCGTGCTGGCATTCACATTCGCATTCGTGCTGGCATTGGCATTGGCAGCAGCGTTCCTGCCCGCGTGCGCGCGGGCGGGGGAGGCGGAGGACGGCCGGCGGTGGTGCGAGTGGTGGAAGTAGAGGTTCTCGACCTCGTTCAGGTTCTGGCGTTGCTGCTCGCGCCGCATCAGCCTTACTCCCTGCCCGCGACATCCATGGGGCCCTGGGGACTAGACAAGACGTACCCAGCCGTGCTCGACCTTGAGGCGGGCGTACTGCAGGCGCATCTGGAGCTGCCTTGATAGCTGCGGGCAGGTAGGTGAGCGGGGGCGCATGCGGGAAGGGACGGAGGGCATACGTGGTTGGCTTTTTGCCTGTCGATGTTTGCGCGCCGTCTGCGCTGTTCCGTGTCGGGGTTCGTGTTCGCGGGGTTGTGCGCCACTGTCTGCATGGTCGTGGACGTGGCTCAGCGCCGATTTTGATGAGCGTGGTCTAGCGGGGAATGAAACTGCGTGCGCCCGAACGATTGAAAGACAAGGGCAGGAGGAAGGGAGGACAAAGGAGCAGCGTGCTCGAACGGCGTTCAAGTTCAAGTCGGGAAGCGCTCGCGGCGTGGGAGGTGTAGCCTATTTGGGATATGTTTTTCCTTGGGCGGGCGTCTGACGAAAGGCCTACCCATCGGCTGGAAGTTCAAGCATACGGATTCTACAGCGAAGCAGTACGCGACATGTTGAATGATCACATGGAGAGGGAAGCAAGACATCGTTTATGATACATTCTTTGGATACATCTATGCAGCAAGATCATTCAATACACTTTCTCGTCCCTTGTCCGTAGACTCCAATGTCCAGAAAGCATAGTGGTATGGTACAAATTACCCTCGCATGTCGTGTATATCGGTCGTAGGCAAAGGCAGCGGCCTTAGCAGCAGCACGGGATAGGGATGATATAGCAGCACCCGCCGTCCTGCGACGCCCATCGTCAGCTTTCGTTCAACCGGTATCGATCACACTGACCGGGCAGGGGATACAGCCACCCCTCAACCTCGCCGCCTTTTCCTCCTCCTTCTTGTGCGTTGCGGACGCGATGGACATACTCGGACCGCCTGCGGGCTGGGTGGAGACGAAGCCGGGCTGGGCGGCGGAGGGCGGGTATTGAAGCTCGGTGGACGACATTGTGGGTGAGCGCGTTAGAGTGTAAAGCGGCTGTAAGCGGGGTTATATGAGGTGGAGCGGTGCGGTGAGGTCATACGCAGCGCGTGGCTGCGTGGCGAGATGGGGCGTGCCACCTCTCTCTTCGACTCGAACCACCACTCCCATGCCTCCCACAGAATTCTCCCTCCGCCTGCAGCACGGTGAGTCTGCCTTTCGTCCACATCAAGTAGCATGCTCACCCCGCGCCCACGCCCAGGCATCACCGGCGGCTTCGCCCCGCCCACGCCCGACGCGATCCACACCATCACCCTCTCCGCCCACAACCCCTCCTCCCTCTTCATCCAATCCGCCGTCCGCCCCCCGGGCCAGCCCACGCTCCAACAGCCCCTCGCCCCCAAATCCCTCGCCCTCTCCTCCTCCGCGCCATCCAACACCGAAGCGCTCCTCGACGAGCTGCACGCCATCCTCAAGGACCTGCCCACCGAGCAGCCGCCGGGCAGCGAGGACATCTACGGGCTCGACACCAGCATCGCGTGGGGCAGCGCCGATCTCGAGTGGTGCAACGGCGGCCCCCAGGGGTGCGGCGGCGGACACAGCGAGGTGCAGCCGACCGACGAGCAGAAGGCCAAGTTTAGGCGCGCGGTCGACATTGTCAACCAGCTCGTGGGCGAGGCAAAGTGAGCGGCCGGGCGGAAGGGGGAAATTCTATCGTGTGTATCTTATGTATTGATATTGCTTGGGCACATATAAAACGCGGATGAAGATGAGCACTGAGGCTGGCCGACCAAGGAAAAAGTCTGCGGTCAGTTACCTCCTGGTAATTTACCGGTAAATCACTGCAAAATTACCACTTGCATTGGAAGGGATAATTCAAATCAACAACCCCTCTGCCACCCATGCCATTATCTAGCAACCCTGGTGGCAGTTACATGCTACCAGTCTGCATCATACCTGGCTACTTAGAATTCACTCTATGTACATAGAAGTATTTTCTGCTTTCCTTATCGGGCAGTCTGAGCCGCAATCTGCGGCCACAGACGTGCTTCTGGTGCTCATCCTCATGGCATTGCACCTGTGCCACAACTCTCTTGCTGTGTCCCAGCCACTGCTCTCCTTCACTGAATCACTTTTCCGTTCCGACCCGCAAAAAGGGAGCTCAAAGTCACGACTTTCTTGTTGTCTTACCACCACCACCACCACCACCTCGCGCATGTCTACTCTAGTTGTTGTCTCTGCTCGGGACACCTCTATGACTGTCCTCAATGATGTTGACAAGTCTCTCGTACTGCTGTAGGCTTTGCGAGGCTCGGGACATCGACATCCAATGCCAACCAACCTGACACATTGAGCAGGCCCTGCTAATGTTTCCCTTGTTTGTCTGAATTAGATTAAATTGATGCTTCTTCCTGTGAATCAAAGTGTCAGCGACACACTCTGGCATTCCAGCAGGCACAAATGTGCTGTGGTGTACCAGTGCAGGTAGCATAGGGGAAAGCAGTATGCAGACCACCACAGGATGCTCTTGTGTCCATAGTATGACGAACACCTGACTATCACTGCAAAGACTTGCGGGGGTGGGCAATCCCTGCCAACTCATGGTGTTTGTATATGTTTACGGTTATGGTCTGTGAAGCTGTGGCTGTGTTGATGCGTGGGACCTCAATGGTTGAGAAAGTCGGTCACTTCATGTACCCCCAGTGCACTTGCCACTCCTCCTCAGGATGACCCCGTGGCATTTGGCACAACACATGCAAGTTGTAGATTACAGTTGTCCCAAAGTTGGGATTTTTATTATATCCTCATGAATACCGATACAGGCCTCCCTTCACAGCCTACATGGGCAGCCTCGATAAAACTGTAATCAGGAAATGGTAGGTCGGGAGAAGTGTTGAGAGTACGTATGAAGATATTTTATATCAAGGGGGTACGAAGGGGAAACTGAGTGTGGAATATCTAGTAGACATTGATACTGTCGCAGAGAGACATATTGAACAGGCCTGAGTCCTTGCCACCCATGCTGACTTCAGTCTCGCGGCTTGGCATTTCCATCACACAATGATTCTCTACACAGTTATCTGCCATATTTTCCACTAAACTGTACCACACCCATGTATATATGCCTAGAGAAATGTCATTCCAATTTTCTCATTGTTCAAGATGGCCTGCAAGGCATGCTAAGGGACTCGGACAACTTTTCAACACAGATAGGTCCCACTGGGCTCTGCCACTGGGTCCACAGACCGAGAGACCATTATTAAGCTGCCATGAGATGACTGAGGATTGCCGACCCCCACGGTTCATAGGCAGACAGGTGGACTGAGGCAGCAGGGTGAAGTTGGCAACATAGTACATTGTTATACTCTCTTGTTTCCGACTCACTATGTCTTCAGATAGTGTTTGGCCATGACAAGTAACATGCCTGCATGGTTGAGGGTATGCGGAGAGTAGGTGGATCCTTGAGAATGGTCATGACAGTGGGAACAACAGTAACAGCTGTGTATCTATTCCATGCCTCTTTGTGACACTGCTTTAATCGCTGTCAATAGCTCTGAATAGCTGGCAATATACAATTTTTATCAACACTGAATTCCTATGCTATCAGAGCCTGCAGATTTACATATTGCTGTATAATGCTATTCTATGCCATCGATTGCCACAGATTCAAAGTTGCTACACACCATGCTGCAAGAGAGTCTGGAGACATGCCCCCTCTTACTATCATTTTGGGGGTCCTGTCAAAGTCAGATTTTTGACAGAACTCCGAAATCTCAACAAATATGTAACGGGTGACTTAACGGATTGGTACATAGGTGAATTGTAACCCGTAGAGAACGCCTGTGAAGTCAGAACTGTCATATCTTCTACCATTGTTGAATGGGAGGACGAATGCTGTCCAAACAGCACAGTGTAATCATGAGTGTTGAACTAGGCGCTGACTTGGCTGCCAGGTTCTACAACATACCAGAACGTACCGGAACTCTCTGGAATATTCTGGTATATTCCACTATTGTACAAAGGCACGGAGCTCATGTGGGTCAGTGACATCATGGGTGGAGCTCAGTAGGATTATAGATATTCCACGTAGCTTAGGCAGCCTATGGGCCACAGTGTATATAAACCCTGCAGCTCTGCTGCCTAATGACAAGGGGTCGTTTATACGAGCTTTACCAGTAGCTACAGCATCCAACCAATACAGGTGAGTTGTGTAGGGCGCACTGTGCGTGCTGCTGCCTCCATAACTCTTCATCAATGAGAAACAGGCCTGATGTATTAGATCTGTGGGCCTACAGTCTTCCGGCAAATATCAGCTTGCTGGGGAACACTGTATTATGTATAGCTAAACATGGCTCACCCACCCGATCGGTGTTAAAGCAATTCCAACTGCTCCTATCGTATGTTCGACAGAAGTGCAAGGGTCCTGGGTGTGACAAATGTGTGACAAAATTGGCACGGATTCCTTACTGTGACTTGCATGTGACACTTTGACAGAACTACCTGTGACTGTGGGTCTGTCACCGGCATCTCTCTCTATTCTTTTGTGCCCAGTCAATTGAGGTCGTTATTTGTGCAGATGGTACTTAGGAGGGTTTATCATGATGCCTGACTGAAAGTAAAATGATTGTCCAAGGAGCGGGCCTGGGGCAGGCTATTTTCCGAGATCTTGACAGAACCCCCAAAATGATAGTATATACCATGATCTGGTCTGAATTTTGCTTGCATGCAAAGAAAATTATGTATAGCAGAATCATGGACTCATATCCTGTCATATATGAGGGCTACACAGCCGGATGCTTTGGTTGAAAATATTTGAATACCCCTTGAAGTCAAAATGTCAAATCACACTAGTCAGAATTTGTGACATTTTTTTGTTTTAAAAAAGTGACAAAATGACTTCTTGTGCAAAGATTTGATTGGGGAAAGTCAGAAATTGTTAAGAACAAAAAGAACAAATGCACGTGACCTACTCGTGACTACCACGTCATCGGTAGTTCAGAGGACCCCTGAAAGTACCAATGGAGGTTAGATACCAGAGAACCTGATTTGCTTCATTTTTACCGGGACCAAATTTTGCCTAATTTGGCTGTTTTTACCGGGATGCGATACCAACCTAGCCATGTGGCTCGAGATTTACCGGGACCCAGATATCCAACCTCCGAATTTTGATCCGGTTACAAGGGTTTTTCTTAGGCAAATTTGATCAAAATAAGGCATTATTCACTACAATATGCCATATATAGGCCCAATGTTGCCAAAACAGTGCAATCTCAGCTCAAATATTGATTGGGGCAAATTGTGGCCGCACAAGCGAGTGACTGAGTGCCGGGAGAAGCCGGGTATATACCACAATGGTATCTGACCTTGGATATCGAGCCTCAATTCTACCGGGACTGAAGTATCCGGCCTCTTGGGCGCTTCGCCACATTTTACCGCAACCGTATCTAACATACGGCCTCCAGACCTCACTTTTTTACGGAATTGGTATCTAACCTCCATCGGTATTTTCAGGGGTCCTTAGTTCAGCCGTCCTCGGGCTCACATTCCGCTTCCTCCCGGTCCCTTGGTACTGTATTATATATCATACTATGCAATAATGCAAGGATTTTATTGTTCTATCCAATGCTGCATACACCCTGAAGTTTCTAGATACATGTATGGCACACAATACTCCAGACACGGGATACCACTATGCCATTCACATACCTATCTGTCCTCGCAAACATTCCCTGACAGCCAATATATGTAAGTGAACAAAGAGATTGGAGCAGCAAGGATGCACTCACCAAATCTAAGCAGTCTAGTCAGATGTCTACAGAGGTACACCTAAGGAATGGCAGTCCTCAGTAAGGGAACATACACAGTCCTAACTTGGTGCAGCGGCCCAGGTGAACCATCTGTATGATAGGTAGCGCGAGGGGGATGATGACTTACGCGTGAGAGACGAAGCCGTGCGAGTGCAAGCAACGAGAGTGGAGGAGCATGACAGGTCAAGGAAATGGACCTGGAGAGGGCGAGGAGAGGGCGAAAAGATGGTGGTGGTTGAAAAACAAGAGAGGGTGCTGCTTGACATACTGTACTATTTGCCACAGATGCTTGTTGGGCTGGCATGTCAGGACTTCCAGATTTGCCAGTAGGGAGCACCATGTCAAGAATAAATTGATGTGAGAATGGGAACATATATGATCAGCCGGAGGTTATTGGGGCAGAGGCAGGACAATACAACAATTTTGCTGTGTTGGTATTGTTGTTCAAGGAGAGTGCATTCATATGATGTGACTTCACTCACCCGAGACATCACGCCAGTTACTCTGCTATGGACCAGTGTTATATTGACCCAAAATGATAGTCAAACTCCAATCTAAATCACACATACCAGGAACATGCTGTGATGCAATTCCCATGACATGTACAGTTGAGTAGACATTCACCCTTATTTTAACATGATTACACAAATACACCCTGCTGGGCAGATCAGGGTCCATGGGTCCTTCCAGCTGATAGTCAGAGGCCCATCATGGACTTCCAAGGTACTTGAAGCGGCTAGTAGCAGGTTGACTCTCAAATGTGTATTGAAGACTACAATCAAACAGTCCCACGCATTCTCGGCGCAGCGATTCCCACGGAGTACAACGTTCGGCACGCACCCAGTAAGGACTTCATCCTTCGTAAACTCAGGACTCGTGACCTGAAGCCACACCAGGTGAGTTGTGGCAGGAATACAGTGTCATGCACAATCAACTGCCTTTTTGTGTAGGCTTCCAGATTCTCATAGATTGAAGTCCTTCCTTGGATGGTCATCATACTATGGGTTTGGTCCGTCATACATAATCTCGGGACGGTTGTTTCCTAATGGGGAAGTTTGTACATCCATATATAGTAAGTAACTTGCTCAATTTGGTCATGTCAAGCGGACACAGTCGGTTCAGTCGCCGCGTATTCTTTCTTTCGTACCTCCATCCCGGCACCCAGCTCAGACGTAGACCTCTAAGTACTTGAAGGAGGAGATCGTAAGCGCGACATATACACAGGGTCATGTCGTTCCTTTTGTCCACTGCTCTCTCCCTGTCCCACTCAGGAGAGATACGATAGTTTAGCGCCCAGCTCGCCTGCTCCTGATCTTTGCATATGCTGCATCTACTGCATCTACGTATCTCCCTGGGTCTACGTAACGTATTCTCTATGGATTCCTGTATTCATTCCAGCAACTTCCACCGCATATGGCTGCACACCGCCCAAGAAGCAGCCAGGGTCGATCGTCACGCCTCGAGTCCTGCTTGTCCTGAAATCCGCATCGAGCTGTCACTGAGATAATAGGCGGCGTGTGGAGATAAGGACGGGGAGCTCGGAGTGATTGGTGGTATGACAGGGGACGTCAGTGTTGTGTCTGATGAAGCGTGATGTGAGTAGGCAGTGTCATTGTCTACCAGCCAAACATTCTCACTGCTCCGGTGAGTAGCTACTCAGCAGCAGCGTTGGAGGAGCTGAGTTGACTCATGGTTTCCTACTCGCCCGCATTACTATGCACATGCATCCGGTGTGCACATCGTCCCAGCTCGGGGCTGCAGTCAGGGATGATCCGGCGGCGAGAGTTGACAGCGAAGCTGGCGTTGCACACGAAGACCGAAAGCTCATGCGCTCATTTCTCCCCGTTCGAGGGACCAGGCTTGCAGCGACGAGGCCAAATGCTGCACGCCTGACCACCGGTTCGACGGGAGCCAATAGCAGACGCGCTCGCCATCACCCGCCTGATGCGACGATGAGAACTCGGTGCGCCTCTTTGCTGGCTTCCATGTCGGTGGGCATATGGGCCGCTGCTTATCTCCCCTCGTAGGCGACGTCGATTATCCCAGCATTACGGGAGGCGCCCTTCCATTGCCCCGCTGTGCAAGATACCGCATGCAGACCGGGAAGGAATCTTCCCGTCCGGGGATGCTTATCGGTTTGTTCAGTGCGAATGAGCCACTAACCCGTCTACTAATGGGCTCGTTTGCTCTAGCGGATTTCATCATATATGCCTGCGTCCCCAAATCGACGGCAAAAGGGCCACAAAGTGAAGAAGGAGCTGCAGCAGGATTCTGCGAACTGAGACGAAGCGCCAAGCATATGATTACAGCCCCCGAGGAAGCTGTGCAGAGCACGCGTCTCCGCGCTAAGTTTAGCATTTCATGCCGCTTGCCTGGATCAAGTGCGCGGGGCGCCTTAGGTGCGTGCTTCTGGTGCTTCTGCTCTTCCTCGAGTTCACCCGGTCCACCTGCTCCCGTCCCTCGCTGCAGCATGGCAACGTCGTACAGCAAGCGTATAAAAGGGCCCCCCTGCCCGCTACTTCTCTCCATCGGGTCTTCTCAGTCCTGTTTCATCCTCCTCCTCCTCGCCCTCGGGTCTAATTAGCAGGCGTCCGCCCCCCTTTTGCACTTCAGAGATGTTCTGCAAGGCCACCCTGTTGACCGTCGCCCTCGCCCTTGTGGCGTCGGCCACCCCCATTGAGCGGGAGACCACCGGGATCCGCATCCCCCTGGGCAAGCGCGCCTCGCTCACCAAGGCGGACGGCACCTTCGATCATGAGGCGGCCATCCGGCAGTCCGTCATCACGAAGAAGTACGTTCCTGTTCCCTTTCTACTCTTCGAGGCCGGCTAACAAACGCCGGTGTGCAGCAAGCACCGCCAGAACCTGATCAACCTGCAGAAGAACGTGGGCCTCAAGCCTGGCCAGGAGATCAAGCCCGTCGCCGTGCTCCCGAACTCGACCGCCGCGGCGCTCGAGAAGAGGCAGAAGGAGGCGCTCACCGACGAGGAAGACGACTTGGAGTGGGCCGGCACGATCTCCATCGGCACGCCCGGCCAGAAGTTCCTCATCGACTTTGACAGTACGTTACCCTCCTTCTTCCCCCCTATTCCCGCGAGAGCTGACCGCACACTCCTACAGCCGGCTCGTCCGACCTCTGGGTGCCCTCCTCCTCGTGCTCCTCCTCCGCGTGCTCGTCCAAGTCCAAGTACCGCGCCTCGTCCTCGTCGACCTCGTCCCGCAAGAGCGGCACCTTCGAGATCGAGTACGGCGACGGCTCGACCGTCTCCGGGCCCGTGTACACGGACAGCGTGAGCGTCGCGGGCGTGAGCGTGACGAAACAGTATTTCTCTCCCGTGACGACGCTCTCCTCGTCTTTCTCCGACGACCCGATCGACGGCATCCTCGGGCTCGCCTTCCCGGCCATCTCGAACCTCGGCGAGAACCCGTTCTTCAACACCGCGTACCAGGAGGGCGCGGTCTCGTCCGACGTCTTTGCGTTCAAGCTCGCGAGCTCCGGCTCGGAGCTGTACCTCGGCGGCACGGACTCGTCGCTCTACTCTGGATCGATTGAGTACCACTCCGTCGACACGAGCACGGGCTTCTGGCAGGCGACGGGCGCAAAGGCGCTCGTCGGCGGGAGCACCGCGGTCAGCGGGTTCGAGACGATCATCGACTCGGGCACGACGATCATGTACGGTCCGCCGAGCGCCGTCAAGACGTTTTACAGCAAGATCTCCGGCAGCAAGGTGTACGACTCGAGCGAGGGGTACTACAGCTACCCGTGCAACAGCGCGCCCAGTGTTGCGTTCAGCTGGGGCGGGAAGAGCTGGACGATCAGCGCTGCCAAGTGAGTGAGATACGATCGGAGTGGGGGTGGTACTGATGATATGTGCATGGCAGCTTTAACCTCGGAGAGACGGAGTCGGGATCTGGGCAGTGCGTCGGTGCGCTCGCGGGCCAGGACCTAGGCCTCGGCAGCAACGTCTGGCTCTTGGGCGACAGGTAAGAGCAGTCTTGTGTCCATCACACTCGCACCCTTTTACTGACTTTGGTCCTCGCAGCTTCATGAAGAACGTCTACACCGCGTTCAACTTCGGCACGAACAAGGTCGGATTCGCGACCCTCGCTTGAGGGCGGTGGCAGCGGTGGTGGAAAAAACGAACTTGGGATATCCTGTACTAAGGACTGGTTGACGATAGCCTTGCGACGTGGACTGTGTTGTCTTGCATACTGCATTGCTCTGCTTGTATTCTTGGTGTAGGTCACGAAAAGAAGAATTGAACGATTGGCGCACTTCTGCCGTCTCTGTGCTGCAGCTACAAGCATGGTATAAGGGCATCTCTAGGTCGGGTGTATATATTGTACGTGGAGCTGGAAATCACGCAAAGAGTCTAGTTTGAGATAATGCGAAGTTCACTATAACTCGTTCCTATTCTCCAATGGACATCAGCTAGACAACAAACGTCATGTTCACGTCCTCGATATCACGCAGGTCCGACGTGCTATCCGGCTGACATGCATTCTGGCAGTGGTTGAGTACTAGCAGGTACTAGCCCCTCAAAGGCTTTACAATCAGCGGCAGTTGCGCCTTCTCCTCCGCATCGCTCCTGATCATGGGCCGCGTGACGAGACCCCGACTTCTTAAGGACATCCTCGCCACGGCGAGCTCGACCTTGAACAGATGGCTTTCATCCTGGCGTGCCAGTGCGGTCAGTGATGCAAGGACACGAGACGGGGGGGACGGCCTTACTCGACGATGGCGAAGCGGTACCCAATGCAGGCTATGTTGCCTCCGAGGAAGGAGAAGACGCTACCCCAGACGCCTGGGATCTTGGAGATCGCGGCTGGGGGGCTTTCCCACCGCTCCGGTCTGCACCCGACGTCAGCCGGTTTACGAAGTCCCCCTTCGCAACTTTAAGCCCGTGATTAAGCATCGTGTGGCAACGGAGGGTACGGGACTGGACGGCTGCTACGTACTTGATACAATCCCAGACCCGCCCATTCACGTCGGTGAACGTCTCCTCGAGTGGGATCACGTCGTCCTTCTGGGCGACCCGGCCCGCGAAAGGGACGGGGGGATGCAACCGGAGCGTCTCACGGCACACGGCGTCGAGGTACGGGAGCGCGGCGAGCGCATCCATCGACGGGGTGTCAGTAGCCATTTGTGCGAGCTCCTCCCGCAGCTTGGAATGGATGCGCCGATCGGTGGAGAGGGTGTACAGACACTACGCTGTGGCGGTGCTGTAGGGCTGTCAGCGAGGACTGAGGGTGAGAGGCGCGAGATGGTCACCTAGTGATTTCGTGTCCGGCAACGGTAAACGTAGGTACCTCTGTACGACCAGTAAGCACATGGACACTAGTAATGGAAGCAGAGGGGGCAGAGGGCCACTCATGCGCAATGACGTCCTCGTCTGACATCCGCTGGTTCTCCGGGAGGTCCTCCGCCATGTTCGCGCGCAGGAGGCGGCTGAGCAGGTCCATGCCCTGCATCGCTTTGCGGTCGACGCGCTGCTGGAGCATCTCCGCGCGCGCGATTGCCTTCTTCTCCGCGAGGAGTGCCATCCCGATGCGCGTCATCACCGCCTGTGCGCGCGCGGTCGTGCGCGTTCTCTCGTCCGGCTACGTGTGGGTGGTTGGCGTTGGTGAGTATGTGCGGGGAGAGGGGGAAGGACACTTACGAAGAGCCAGAAGAGCGGGATCCAGGCCTGGAGGAAGGGGAGGAGGCGGAAGCTGGGCTTGCCGCTGAACATGTGGCGAAGGCCTCGCTGAGCTCGTTCGTCCTCTCTCCCGGATGGAGGGCGTTAAAGTCGTGGCCAAACCCTTATTGGAAGAATGCGAAGAATTATTGATCAGTGGGAAGGAGGGAGGAACGTATCCCGGAGCTAGGGGATAGGGAGTCAGGCGGTGGGATGTGGCGACGGAAAATGATTGAGAACTCACTTGTGCAGCTTTGTCAAGGATATCTCGGTTACCTCGCGGATGTGTCCTGGAGCGAACGCGGTGGTCTTGCGCGAGAGGACCAGCCAGAGCAGAGGACGATATGTTCGACGGTCCTGACCATAATACGTCTCTGGGGCGGCCAACACTGGTGAGCGGATCAGATGATGATCTACGAGGCTATGTACCTGCTTCCTATGCTCAGGGCCTACGTTCATATCAGCGAAAGTCCTGCAGAGCCCAGTCAGACACTTACCTTCAACCACTAAAACGCCTGACCAGTTGGGATAGTACGCATCAGCGGGTCTGAGGAGCACAAAGGGTAAAGGCGTACCTGGACCGATGATCCGCCTGAGGTGGGCGCGAGCGTCGGCAGGTCTCTCATAGATTGGTGAAGTGAGGACGTGATGCGGTGCCCTGGTATCTAAAGTGAGAACGCGGTCCAACTGCAAGTACCAATATTAGTGGGGTTGTCTGCATATTAACAATGGCATAAGCTCACATTGAGCATGCCCGTGAACCGGATGGCTGGTCCGTACTCCTGCAGCCAGCGCTCTCGGGTTAAGGCAAAGTCATTACCGAACAACTCCTTCATGTGGCCAAAGACCAAGCTAGGACGGGCCAAGCAGCTGACGAACGGGTGAAAATAATGGCCGCAGAAAGCGTCTCGCAACCTTGAGAAGAACGTATAGACCACCTAGGGCAACCACGACCTTGTACATGATAAATTATGCATGTCTGGGTCATCTGCAGTCTGCTTAAATACGGTCGCGGTCAACACCGTGACTAGACGTCGCGCATAGAGCTCGGTGAATTACTCTCCGCTGGGTTCTCGACAGCGTTATTAACGTTATTAACAAAAATGGTAGTTATTAATGACAAGTAATTAACCTGTTAATTACAGCTTGTTATTAACCGCTGCCAAGAACTCAGGGTATTTCACTGAGCTCTAGTCGCGCAACAGTGTCGATCATAGATGATATAGAACGATGACCAAAACAGATGACGAAGGCCACAGTCTTGCAGAAAATAACCGCTCCTGCCGGCTGTGGCGCCCAGAATCGTGGGGGCGGTAGACTGCAATAGATCTAGGCGAGGCAGCCCTTCCTTCTGCACCTGATTGATGATTGGCTGCATCCATACATTTGAACGAAGGGGACCTGTCACGCACTTGTGGTCACTGCCGGCAGGACGCGTATGCGCGCAGCATTCGGAAATACGAACGTGAGTACCCATCCACCTAGACCATGAGAGAAAGTGCAATCCTCCCTACAAAGTTAAGGACGCGAGTCGCTATAAATGGAAGGTCGGGACACTGTGCGGTAACCCCGCAGCGTAAAATTTCAAGTTGCGTTACGGAGTGAAGGCAACTAGAATCATCACAAGTGAAAAATATCGTCCATGGGTGGGATTGAACCTCGAGCGCACATCATTGCATCTGAAATAACCCATCACACTAACCGCTGCACTAGCGACACACTAGCAATATTCAAAAATAGGATTATATGTTAGGCGGACAACCGTCTGGGCGCATCCGCTGCAATGGCTCCGCGTCCACTTTGCGAGCCGCTGCGCGACTCGCTTACATAATCCGCGTCCTTAACTTTGTAGGGAGGATTGCATTTCGTGACCATGAGCATCGTACCGAACTTGATGAGACACATATCAGTATATATTTAAGCATTGAGAAGTTGTGGAACGACAGAACAAGAGCCCTTGTGGCCGGTCTAAATCGATTCCGCGAGCACATTCCATACGGCAACCCTTTCTCAGTGCTTAAATCTAAGGAGTTGCTATTCAATGAAACACCGCCTACGAATTCCGGAATACTTCATCATAACATGACACGCTGCTTGACTGATACACAGAGAGCTTCATACCACCGACGGGAGGCAGACGGGGACTTACAGAAGTTCGAAGTTCGAACCTGTCGAGACTCGAGAACGTGGCAGGAGGCTGTGGCTGCGCAACTCTCGGTAACACTAACAGCACGTCTATAGCGCCCCGTGTTGCATCCAACCCTTCAAATGAGCTTTTCTTGTTCATAACCAGCACACTCTTCTGTGTCTTGTGAGAGTGATATACTCCATTGCGCAATCCTGGAGACGCAAGCTTAAGCGGTTCTGTTCTGTGAATGGTCGGATTTGCTGCGTTACCGACCTCTGAAGTGGGCGGGGAGGGTGACTCTCAGAGTCAGTTAGTCGGCGTGGCCAGGATATTGGGCCCGAAATGGGTCCAGTCACCAGTCTTGACGGTTGGGCTGCTTGGGGTGCAGGTGCTGTGGTCGGTTGAGATGTCTTACGGCGAGTCTTGGACGGTTTCGTGCGGTTCAATCAAGCTGAGCTCTGCATGTAGCATCACCGTATCTACTGTCCTTAGGATTGAAGAAGTCATTGATGGCCATCGTCTTTCTGGCGGGCCCATTGTCTGGTCTCATAGTGCAGCCCTTGATAGGTGCGGTTTTCCTGGTAGCTCACCACTGTACAAGCTTAGACGCAAGAAGGTTTGTTCCAGGTGCCCTCGCGGACAGGTCTCGTTCTCGCTTTGGCAGACGGAGGCCGTACATGCTCGCCGGCACTGCGATATGCGTGTTCGGTGTGCTGTTACTTGGCTTTACTCGGGAGTTTGCATCGATATTCACCGCGCGGGCCTCTTATGCTGTAAGCAAATTCCAGTCGTACTATAACTAGACTTGCGAGGTTGACAGGCTGTAGAATGATGTGTTGACGATATGGTTAGCCATATGGGCGATTTATTGCATAGACTTTGCCGTCAACGCAGGTGAGGCCTCGTTGCCTCGACATCGGAAGGTACTGACTCAGGTGTACCTTCAGTGCAGGCTGTGGACCGTGCGCTCATAGTCGATACGCTGCCAACCAACGAGCAAGCCAGCGGCAATGCATGGGCAGCGCGCATGTTGGGTATCGGAAGCGTCGCAGGGTTCTTCGTGTTGAGTCTATTTTGACCGAGGATGCTATCCCTATCCCTGACCCTGCTACAATAGAGGCAATGTCGACCTCACACAAGTATTCTTCATGTTCGGCAAGACCGAGTTGCAGGTCTTGGCGGTCATCGCTTCTCTCCTTCTCGTCACGACACATTCTGCCACGGCCTACTGCGTGACAGAAAGAGTGTTGGTGAATTCTTCCAAGTACGGTGCATGTATACTGGACTACTGCCTCCTTCCTTACGTCTGTCTCTTCAGAACACCCAAAAAGGGACTTAGTGCGGAGATGAAGATCCTATGGAACAACCTGCTTAAATTGCCTCGTGTGATCCGGCAAATAGTAAGTTCTATGGGTTTTAAGTGGCATTCTACGCCCCTGACGCCCACACCACAGTGTCTAATTCAATTCTTGTAAATACACCCTCCCTTCCCATACCCACACCGGCTGCCCCTAATTTCTGATAGTGCATGGCTAGGCTGGTTCCCCATCCTCTTCTACACGACTGTCTACATCGGCGAGCTGCACAAGCGCGCGTCGCCCACGCCGACGGACGACGACGCGGCCGCGGCGCTCGACGCCGAGGGCACACGCCTTGGGACGCGCGCAATGCTGTGCAATGCAGTCGTCGCCCTCGTCACGACGTTCGTCATGCCGCTCTTCGTGCTGCGGGACGAGGACCGGCGGCGTGGGCTCCTGGCGCCAGCCAAGGGGTGGAGTAATAGGCGGAAGATGCACTTGGCGACGCTGTGGGCCGCCAGCCACCTCCTGTTCGCGCTCTGCATGGCAGCCACTCTGTAGGTGTGACGTCCTCCACTACTGGTTATAGACCCGCGGATGCGGATTGGTGACGTGCTCTGTGCTATCTTAGGTTTACGTCCAGTGTATTTGGGGCGACGCTTCTCATGGCCGTGGTCGGGTTCTCGTGGGCGATCACCCAATGGGCGCCCTTCTCGCTGGTGCGCTTGCCGCATTCTCTGTCGAGCGCTTTGAGTCTTATCTGACGCCCACTCGTCCTCGCACCGCTGTTTTAGCTCGGAGAAGCCATTCATTCCGGTTCGCCGCCAGCGGGAGAAGACGCGGCCTCTATTCATCTGTCCGACACGAGGTCCAGGACCAATGTTCGTGACGACAATGACGAGGCGCGGCAGTTCCTCGTTGTAGATGAGGACGATATCTTAGATGCGTCCAGTGACGGTATAGCGTCGACCAGAACGTCCCTCGATGACGTCCATGAAAACATCAGACCGAGGGCGTCGCCGCTCATGCAGCAGGCCGGCGCGCGGGTCAGCATGGCCAACATAGGCGTTGTGGGGGACGATGAGGGAGGGGGCGAGGCTTCGGACAAAGGCAATGATGATCTCATGTCCAAAGCCGGAGTCATTCTGGTACGCGTCGCGGGTCTGTTCCGTCGGGACAGCCCATTCACATATCTGTCTTTGCAGGGGATACACAACATCTTCATCGTCGTCCCGCAGTTCCTCGTCACGGGCCTGTCATCGATAATCTTCGCGATCTTCGAGCCCGACAAGTCTGTCCTGCACGGCCACCATCCCGGGAACACGACTCCTAACTCGGGCAATCTGACGGAGCTCGCAATTGAGTCCAGCAATAGCACCAGCTCCGTCATATCATTCGGGAGAGCGAGTGAGCAGGTTACCGATAGCGACGGTCCGAACTCGGTCGCGATTATTTTCCGGTATGTCGCTTGGTGTCACACTTGTCCGTCAAACTGGTAGTCTGAAACACAGCCTAGGTTGGGGGGAGTGTCCGCCGCTGTTGCATTTGTCCTTTGTCTTCGACTGTCCAGAGAAATGCGCCGTAAAACATGAATAGTTTCTCCCTGCAATTATCGAACTTCTAGTGCTTCTAATATAAGCTTGTACAACTCTGGCATAATATACTGCTTGCTTCGCGTTCCGTTGTTTACCGTGAGATCTCGATATCTGCAAGAGCCGCAATTTGCGATTCCGACGAGCCTTTCAGAAGACCGTACCATCGCTCTCGATATCGATGGGCGGACCACCAGTTGCAGGGCGTCTTTGTTTGGCAATCTCCCGGCCGCCTTTCCATGTGGCGCTCTCCAATACTTGAGGGAGGGTGAGTTGGGAGGCTGTAAGCCCGAGTTTGGCTCGTATGGCATCAGCAATCCTGTCACTTGACGCGGAAGCTTTCATGAGCTGATTTTGGTTGGTTACTGGATGTAATCAGACTTACAGTTCAATGACCGTCATTGCACGCCACTCGACTATTGCTGGGTGCGAAGGAGCAAAGCGAGGGATGCTCGAGGACGGATCCGGATAGAAGGATGCGGGCAATATATTCTGTTTGAGCGTCAGTACTCCGAAGTCCACCAGCAGCCCTCCTGTGAGACGACAATTAGACACCGAAATGACAAGGGACATCAAAGAGCCCACCGTTACGGTATTCGGGCAAGCCAGTCAAGTCTTCCAGGCCGTCAAATTTCCACTTCATAACCTTCTCTATCGGCTCAATCAGGCTGTATGAGATCCATCCGGACAACTTGTGAAACGGTACGAGGTCGTCGCCTTCATTCACAGCGAACGGCTTCAAAACTGAACATGGCCACACATCTCCTAATGAAATGCCCCCGAGGCTGAGCCGTGCGGGCCAAATCGAACTGAGGCCTTCCATCAGGACATGCCAGAGGCTTGAGACATGCACCTTCCGGGTGGAGCCGTCGATGCGGGAGTTTCTCTCCAGGAAATCTAGAGGCAATTAATGGATGTTCCATCCGTAAAGCGTCGTGTGATTTCTCTCACCGAGCATGTTTCCAGGCCTGGCTTCCTCGCCGAAAAATTCGCTGTTCTTGCGCAAAGCTTTGCTCAAGTTGGCGAGCAATGACGCGCGTCCCTCGATACCGACCATCGGGTTGGACTCCGTTACTTGCATGGCTTCGGCCGTCTTCTCGGTGGTAATCTGCGACAGTCCCAGCGCTGAGCATATTCAGTGAAGTGAAGGTTTCAGTACTGCAAAGTGAACCTCCATCACTGACCATCGACCCGATAAGGTTGATCGCTATTTCCAGAGAATAGTCCTTGCTCAAACATGTGTATGCTGGCGACCCCCAAACCCTCGGAACGACTGAATGACTGGCCCGAGTCCTCCTCTTTGTATTGCCAAGAGTTGCCCGCCCCTGCGTCGAGCAGGACGGATACGAGGAATAAGTCGAGCAGTCGCTTGCATATCTCTTTCTCGTCGATATGCTCAGATTCCTTCCACTTCGCGATAAGTGGCTCTACGCGAAGACGTCCAGCGTCTAGGTGCCTCCAGCGTCCATGAGGTGGGATCTGCGCATCATTCATACAGAACAACGATATGTTACACGTCAGTACTTACACTAGCGTAGTTCGTCCCAAAGTCTCTCTGCAACAGATGAGCATATTCTCGTAATCATTAGTGTATCACTGGCTGCTGAGCACATACTTGAATGATATCGCTGCAGAACGCTGCAACGTCTGCTTCCTTCTCGGGGTGATATTCGAAATACTCAAGTTTCCCTTGCTTAGCAAGGTCATATACACGTCCGCATCGTTCGCGTATGGCGGGCAATGTACGAAGATATGCCGCAGTCTGCTGGGGGGTGAGTTGGACGTTCATTGTAGATGCTGATGGTGGCGCCAAGATCTGAGCCTAAATCTCCGTTAGGCGGCCTTTGCCGAGGTGCTTCCTTTGGGTCGTGTAGATCCGAGATTTCACAAAAGACGTGGAGTTGTGGCATGCAATTTCCTACTAATCGAAAAATTTCGAGCTTCCACTTTGAAATGCATCCCATAGCTACACTTGGATATCGGTCCAATTATACCAGTATGAACCGCAATCTAAGTAATGGGAACGGAACGTAGTCTATCCTAGCAATGCACCTCTCAGAACGGTTGTAGCTGCACGGTCTGTCTTGAAATGGCCTATTTCTTGATTATGTAGCCTCGCTACATTCCGGGCACGGAGAGTCCACGATTTGTCCTGGAACCACCGTCCGTACCTTGCTATAGCCGCAGAATGAAGCGTGGACTATAAGGCGGAGTGATAGGTACTCACAAATTTGTACAGCGCCTCCCACCGGCGGCACAGTCCCTACAGTCTGTCGGATGGTTCGCGCTTTGAATGCAGGTAGAAGAGTTACAGTCTGCCTGCGCCACACTGTTAGCACCGTCCTGCAAACTGTAGAGACATGTATAGAGCGTACTATATGCTCCTGAAACAGTGTGTGGCCGCAAGAAAAGGTAGTCTTCGACACCTCAATGCGACACATCTTAAAAATGTCGAATAAGATCTAGAGGGCAGAGCACGTCAAGCAGTGCACAAGGGAAGGGATCTCTACGCACCTGGAGGATATGTTCCCTGTTTATGATGAAGTGCTCGTCTGGACGACTGACCTTTATAGTGTCTCACTGCAATATTTACGTGTGATAGTACAAAGAAGCTTTGGCAGCCATAGACGAGTGAGTCCAAAGGGCAGTACAAATGCCACTGCACATTACATAGATCAGCGAAACATGAGATTGTCTCCCAGGTAATAGTGTTGCTCTGGAGGTGAGTGCCATCCGGATCGACCCAGGATATCGGAGGCTGATGGTTCAAGATAAGCAGTGACCTACCGCTGAGACACGAACGCGCCACCGTCTATTGACTCCATTCTCAAGTCCTGAACGTTCCCTCGCCTTGGCACAGAGGGATGGAGCGAGATGGTGCCCCGGTCGCCGAAGGTTATACGAATGACAGGGCTCACCGACCGCGGGACTGAAACCATGTATTCTGAGTACAGGCCTGAAGTCACGGGACTGGAACGACCCGGCGGCGGGCTCCCAGAGAATATTCAATAAAGCAAATTCTAAATCTTCGCGGAGTCCGCTTATCTCGCCGGTATACCGGTCATTTGCACTCGTGAGGCCGGCCAAAGTAAGCAGGACAAAGGAAGGGCTTGGGTTTGGGGAGATCCTGTGACAGATTCCCGATTTCCAAGTTATTTCTCGGGGTGTGGAAAAAAAGAAAGAAAACATACCGGTGAACGTCAGCTTTGTCAGTTCTGCGCAGTGCGAACTCACCGAGACGATTCAATGGAACTCGCCGGAACGACGTCTGAGAGCCGCGGCAACATCGCCTTCTATCGTCTGATCTCCGCCGCCCCCACATTGCACTGTATATCTGATCCGTTAAAATAAGACATCGCCGTTAAAGAGACGACTGAGGGGGGGTTGTAGCCTACTTCTGTGACATACGCGCCGATCCGCGATGTATGATCCATCTTCTGAGATCAAGCGATAGAGAATCGGCGGCACATTCCTTCAGACCCCGCGAGTGCACCCATCTGGTCCGGACCGAGCTCCAAGACTCACAGGCAGCCAATATCCCGAGGGAATACTTAGGGCCAGGAGAGCCTATCCTGAGCGACGTCTTTGCTGGTGGTAGGCCCATATCACCTTGCGGATTCACGGGAGAATTACCGTCTCACGACCTCGTGTAGTATCTATCGCTCCTCTTAGATGCTTGTCGACGCGAACGAGTGAATTATAAGCGGTCCTTCCTCATATGATGCCCCGATGAGGTTGGACTCCAAGTATGAGGGATATTGAACCGGAAAGAAACCAGGTGCCCTCGCATACGAATCTCGAGAGAGCTAGAATTATCCGACGACCATCGATACGGCGGCTATAACGGTCATTCCTGATGTCACAACCTTCAAGAAATGAACCCCTACTGTTCCCTGCGACTGCGAATTCTGGGAGAGGGCGCGCTTGCTTCTCGTGGAGCCCTCAAGGCGAAAGAAACGAGGACTGCCGTTTCATAAGGTAGGCGTCGAATGACACGAAGAAACAAACCAGAAGAACCCGGACACGTATGATCTAAGCGCTCCTCCTGGAGCAGGTGTAGCTAACGCTGCACTGGATGATGCGTGTTCCAGAACGGATCCTCCCACCAGTGGTTCTCCACCTTGACAGCGACCACATGCCTTCCAAAGTTGTTTGGCTCTTCGCTAATTTGCAAATAATGAAGTTGAGTGACGCCCATGTTCGTGAGGTACTCTTTGACGAGGTCGTAATTGAGGCCCACAGCCTGAGGTCCATGGCTATCATCGGATAGTACCAATCTTCCACCGAGCTGTAGTATCGCCTGACACTAATGGATTTAGCGGCCAACGAACGTCGAGACAATGGGACAGACCTGCAAAACATCTGGAGCAGGATACGGCGACTTCCATCCTTTTCTCAAGGCAGCTGCATTGACTTCAAATACAGCGCCATATCCAGTAGCATATTGGATATTTCGTTCCACCTTTTCCCATGCTTTGCTGTGGCGGAGCAGCAACACGTCCGGAGTATAAAGGCGAAATAGGTCGAAGTGACCGATCACCTCAGGGTGAAACCGACGCATGACACGGTATTGAGCGTCGAGATACATACACAGGAAGCGCTCCATACTTTCGGGATCAGAGTTCTCTACAACGGAGTCATTAGTCGAAAGGCTCCGAATGGACTGCCGGTAAGTCGCCTCGTCGAAATCAATAGGGATACCGTTGACGTGGTGGATAGATCCCACGAGGTAATCAACCCGACCTTTGTGCTTCTCGAGCAGTTTCTCCAGGTATTCCAAATCCATGTCTGTAATAAACTCCGTCTCCAGCCCGACAAGCAGGCGTATCTGAGCGGCGTAGGCAGACTTCAGCCGATGAGCCTCGTCCAGGAAGCCCTCGAATTGCCACGCAAGGGAGTCTAGAGAGCACCCCGCCTGCAATATAAGCGCCTCAGTAATCATACAGGTGTTCGTGGAGTGATGACAGGTTAGGAAAATGAAGAATCACCTCCTCAGGGTATAAATCTGCTTCTCTGTACCGCGGGACATGTTCTGTTAGACCGTATGTATGAAATCCCTGTTTAATGGCTTCAATAACAACCTCTTCCAGGGTGCCTTTAGCGTGTTTGCAGAATTGTCCGGAATGGGAGTGATGGCTGTGGGGCATGGCTTGGTTATGGAGCAGCCCGGGTCGGGGTTTGCCGCGCCTTGCAGTGGTTTACTGTTGCTTCCGATAAGTTCGTGGATCGCCCATACGGTGGGTTACAGGTCACCTCCTGCGGCTGCTGTTTCCCTGGGCTAACTCCTCGGACTTTCAGTACGAGGAGTGCTAGTAGATGCAAGGTGAGAGACTCCGCATGACGCCGAGTTCTTTTAAGTACCCCCCTATGAGTGGACGGGCGATTGGCGCTTCACGGCATAACATTTACGCAAGGTTCATAATGTTGCATTTGTGAATAGTATGGCAGGTCCGCGGACTTCGCAGGCCAGTAAAAAGATGGTTCCATTACTGACTGCTAACGGTAGATATGTGCAGGAAGGGATAGAATACACATTGGTGTCCGGTGCAGTAAGATACAAGTCCGTGTCCAAGAGTAAAATAGTCCATCAAGATAGCATCTGAGCAAAAGGAACCAGGTATTGTTCGCAGATAGCTGAAAAGTAGAACTCGTGCTCGGAATTATGTGGGTGCACGAGATTATGCGCAATCTCGTGTGCCAGAGTGAAGTACCTGCGGACCGTATTAGCATGATAATCGCGCGGAGACTTGGTCCACGTACCAAGATATAAATGCCTTTGACATGTCACCGTTCCGGACTTCCTCGTCATCTGCGTGAGGGTGAGAACATTCACAAAGTATTGAGTTATGCAGGGACATACGCCAAGCCTCATAATATCGGAGATTCAAATAGAGGCTGCCCTCACGATTGAAGGCGATGAGCTCTCCGCCCAAGTCACAGAACACATGTAGACTCTTGGCTGGAAGCTTATACACCTCTCGCAGCGCCTGCATGACATGAATAAACCTCGCTAAGGCGTCATGTTTGTCTTCCATGAATCCTCGTTTAGGGTCCTTCTGACCTATGCAAATGAAATTGTCAGGAGAAAACGGACGTGTTAGCAGAAGAATCACCAACCCTGGCTTCGGTAGCGCTCTAACACATCTAAGCTCCACGTGTTAATGAGTGTGTCAATCACCCACTGTCAGAGAAAATACCTGGGGAGACGAAAACCGGTATACCGCCCATGTCGCCCACCCGGCTTAGGTCGCGAGAATACCCTGAGATGTCGCAATAACCTTCGTCGAGACTCTCTTTCACGGTCTGCATCTGCCTTCTGTTGTTCAATAAATCACTCTTCTCTTCTCTGCAGGCTTTGACTGCCGTCTCAATATTCGACGCTACCATCCACAAATTTGGTTAGACCCTCTCGAACGCCCGATGTGGCGATTACTCACTGATATTGCTAAGAGGTGTGACATGGGAAGAAGGCGACTTCGTTTGAAGCCCTGTCGAGCCTCCTGGTGCAGATGCCATCGGCTGAGGCCGTGGATTCAACTTTCTCATGAAATTCTGTAGAGTATTATGGGCATTCGACAGAGCCTTCTGATGGGGGTGTTGATCCCGTATCGAATCCTGCACTGTGGGCTCCGGTGTGGGGGAATTAGCCAATGTCAAGTCGGTTGCAGGGCTGGATGAGCCGTCAGGCTCGTCGCGTATCTGCGACTCCGATGCAGGCAAGCCTCCAGATGCGGTGGGCAGCGAGTCTGACACCAAAGCCGTTTCGACCGCCATCCGTTCCCTAGCGGCGTTATAGGCGGCTTCACGTTCCGCCTGCTGTTGTCGCAAAATCCTGTCCACTACAGCAACGGTCAAGCGGGAGTAGCCCCAATGTCAGATGTATCCACGTACCATTATATCCCCGCCTCCGGAGAGACTTCAAATCAGTGGAGAGGATCGTCATGAACAGCAATGCATCGTTGTTTCGAGGATTTTTGAAGATATGATGACATAAGGACGTTGCGACTCTAGCGAGAGCTTTTGGGTAAACCACGTCGACTAGTAGTTGAAATCAGCACTCACTCGTACATATCAACTTGAGTGTTTCCAGCTAACCACAGTTGTATTGGGCCATTCCCGTCACGCTTCACAGCAGCAGAAGCTTCACGTTCTTGGGAGAGGAGTTTATTGTCATACTTCATCGACTTCGTCACGACGAGCTTGCCAAATGTCCTCACTATGAAATTGTTATCCGAGTTGAGCCAGTTGTAGGTGATACGTAATGTCTCATGTCTATGCTCATGAAGGAACAGGGGAAGTCGTTCGAGTACCCGTGCCCGAGTTTCTGCCGCCATTTTGGATCCGTGTATCTCGCCTCGCGTCTTATAGTCTTCTCGTACGAGGCGACTCAGACGTGGACATCCGAGGTCGAGGTAAAATTCTACCCGCGAGACGATCAGCTTGTGGAGGGCATCGCCCTAACCTCGCTCACCTTCCAGGAGGTCTTCCTGTGGAGCGGTGAATATGGACTCGCCGAAGAGTCGGTATGAGTTGATTTCATCCGCTACGATAATCTGCTCCGGCTTTCGCAAATCATACTCGTACTCCCAGTCATCGTCATCCAAATCAGGATTACTGGATCCTTCCTGAGCTTTAGCAGATGCCCTCTTGACTCTGCGTGAGCCCAAGAGGATAGGTGATCTCTTCATCCGGGTGAACGTGACGGGTGCAATAGCTCGCCGGTTCGCAGCAAGGTTGCGCAACTCGATCAAGAAGCTGTTCATCATGAGCATGTCCGTCAACTATTTCCAACTGACGATATATATAGGACTAACTTTGGCCGGCCGCCGACTTCGCTGTAGAAGCGGCGGGGATCTCCAAGCATCATCTGAGCGATCTCATCAACCGAAGGTTTGTTCTTCGCCCCGCATGCCATGAGGAAGCTGTTCGCCTGAGGTCCAAAATTGACGTACACGAATAATTTGGAGTGTACTTGGCCGTCCGAGTCACCGGCGAAATAACATTGACTGGGAGGCAGCATGCGTATAGTGGACTTATCGCCCACGTTATGTCGGGTTGGCACGATCGGCATTTGGGACAAGGTCTTCAGCTGAGCGGCCGAGAAGGCTAGAGGTCATAACATTATGAAGGGAACCCAGTATCCCGAGAAGTATGTTCTCACCTGTAATCCGGCTTGCTAAGACGGCGAACCATTCACTGGCTATCGCCTCTGTCTGTGGTGGCTTCCGCTGAAGCAGCGAAACCAGAGCAGACGGGTGTGGGTGCTCGGGTATTTTCAGCTTTGTCAGTGCGTCCGCACGCAGACTATCGTCTACGATCCAATAACCAAGCTTCTCCCACTCGGCATTCGCGAACACCTAGGAGAAACAGATCAATGATGTGACGATGAACGGAGGCTGAGACACGGACTTCGCTGGGCTTTGCAAGCTTTCCATCTCTCGTAGGTATGAACGCCTTATCTCCGAATTGACCCGGGTCATAATCTGAATACCGTGTAGAGAAGTTCTGCATGAAGTATTGCATAGCCTCTTTGCGGACGTTCACATCCGTGCTAGCCGCGAGATTGATGATGACTTCCAAAGGCGGAAATCTCAAAAGACCAAGACGGTACAGAAGCTTGGCTATGAGAGGAATGAGATGTGCACCCGCTTGACATGCTCAGGTATGCTGACCTTCCTCCGAGGAGCCACGCCACTTGACGTTTGCGCCCCAGTCCAATATCGGGAGCTTCAGCTGGCGGAAGACATCCAAGGGCTCGTACAGAGTCGAAGCCTTGTAGCGAACAGTCTTGTTCTTCTCTGCGTCCTCGCCTGGGGTGTTCTCCCGAGGAAAAGCGGCAGTGTTCTTCAACCGGGCGAACTCTTCGGGCGTGAGCGTGGATTGCACAGACACCAGATATTTCATCAGGTCCGCTATTGTCCAATCACCTGTCTTGATCATCCTGTAAGGACGAAGTTAGCCTTCCGGAATGTAAATGATGCTCTGCCATACCGATCAAACACAACCTGCAAGTCAACATGCTTCCGCACCCCCAGAGCCGCAAGGAACCTCTCCAGCTGCCCCCTCACCGGCGTCCCAGACGGGAACGCAACGGTCGGGAGATCCTTGAACAAATTCACATTCGCAAAATACGCCAGCTCTGGGCGCCTCAGCCCGCCCGTCGTCGGCACGCACGCCAGCTCCCTCAGAAGCCCCACAATCTCCGTCTGCACGTCGTGTGCCAACGACGACCACTGCCTCGACACCCCCACGAGCACGCGCTCCGCCCATGCCGCTGAGCGCGTCACATCATGCTCGACATTCCCTTCCCTTACCGCGGGGCTCACGATATGTTTCACCCAATCCAGCACCGTCAGCTCGCGCCACCCAAACACCGCGACGAGCATGTCCAGCTCGAGACCCTTGCTCACGCCCAACGGGAGGAGGTGCGCCGGCAGCGGCCCGTCGGCGGGTATCACCGCGCCCGTCGCCCTTGGGTTCAAGAACGTCTGCACCGCCGCGAGCTGCACGACGCGCCCCCCGTCGCCCTCCGCCGCCACGACCGCCGCGTCAAGCAGCTCTCGCCGCACGCGCTCGTTGCCCGCGCCGGAGCGGTGCACAGTCACCCACCACCTTAGGCACGCTGCCGCCTCCGTCTCGCCGAGCGGGCGCTGCCGCAGCTCGCCGAGCACGTCATCGAACGCGATGTCGCGCAGCATCCGGCGCGCCTGCAGCGCATCCACCATGGCGCGCGCCTCCGCGAGCGTCTCGGCGGGGACGACCGGCAAGCGCCGCAGGAACGCGGCGAACGCGTCGTCGGGTACGCGCACGTCCTTGACGTCGCGCACGCCCGCGGTCGACATGAGCGGGAAGCCCACAGAGGTCCCGGAGGCGAAGAACGCGT